CTACGGTATTGGAGGGAAGAAGCAATACCTAATATTCTTCAGCAAGACCCTCAACGCAGCACAGCGCAATTACGCAACACCCATGAAGGAATTATTGGCCTTGGTATACGGTCTCACACACTTCCGGGATCATCTCGAAGGTCAACGCTTTTCAGTGTTGACTGATCACAAGGCTTTGGTGTATATGAACACACAGCTAAAGCTGAATCCGATACTACCCATTATCAGTACACATGATACCTGGCCACCCGTGGTCAGCAAAGACATAGCAACATAATTCTGCCACGGTCTGCGTACTCTTGTCCTTTAAAGGATAGTGCAAGTTATACCGTGACGCCACATCAAAGAAGTGGCATACGTAACTGTCGCCTGTGTGCTCGGACGTAGGCAGGCCAACTATATCAATGATGACCCTGCGCCATAGAACATCTTCAGTCACACTCTTAAGCGGTGCGAATCCATAGCGCTTAATTTGGTTGAGATCACAGTCTGTACATGACTGATATACTCTGTCAACTAAAGTTGCCAGCTTAGGGTGCGCGATCCCATTTCGCTTAGCATCTTTAAGTGCGTCTACTACGTTCTGTTGCTTCAGCTTATGGTTTTGCGTCAGCCAAGTAAGAATGTTTTTATCATTCTGCTCCTCCAGAATAAAGGTAGGGTGTTGAGAATCCACTTGCGTGGTCTCTAAGTCTGTAGTGTTTCCAGACGCATGTCCTTCTTTCGCACGAGTGTCATGTGTGCGCTTATGTGTGTTTGATACGCCTGACTTATTTAATAGTCGCATTATATGTGTATATACTTCGGGATTATCTTTCATTAATCCCTTTAGAAAAAGTGTTTGAAAGACTTCGGGCTTGGACTTTATGCTATTTAATAGAGTCCTAGCTAGAGACTGACGCTTCTTAACTGTAGTCTCAGTAGTAGATTGTATTTCTTGTGCATATATTTCAGGTGCTGTGTTGCCTTTGAACTGCTTAACGTTCAATCTAGAGGAGAGTGGAATCTCCGATTCTTTGACCATTTTAAGGAAGGTCTCAGAAGGGGTCCATTTGGTTGTTCCAATAGGACCTACACGACATATTATAGTATGTCTTCATGGCGTCTTCTGGACGGCACGGGTACCCTGATATAGGAAAGTATCTACTTTCCTATCTAAATATATTGGCTCGCATTGTATTATGCTTTTCAATTTACTGAGCCACGTATCCGAACTCCGTAACGGGCATTTCAACGTGATGGTAGCTTTGTGTATTTGAACGTAATTTAACAATTAGGCAATTAACTGCCATGGTGGATTAGCCCACGCATTATGTTTGAAGAGGTCCATTTGAAAGGCATCTCCTAAAGAATGATTTAAAGTCCTATAATTATTTAGTTGTGCATTATGATGTGCAGCAAACATGTCAATTGTATGTGGCCCAAATATCTTTTTGAGCCATTTCAAACCACCTGGGAATACATTTCCAGTCAGTGGCTAGTGACTCATGTACGGATTTATTAAAGTCCGGAACGAAGCCTGATAACATATCCGGTAAATGGTTATGTATCCCTAGTAGATGTTTGATATCGAAATGAAACTTTGATATCGTATCATGCCACCGACTCAGTGATTGAGAGTCTGGCTTCATCTCCTTCATAAATTGCAGGGACTTCTGATCACACATCAGCGTAAAAGCTGTTCCGTATAATTAATCACGGAAGTGTGTTAAAGCTGCTACTATGGCTGGTAGTTCTTGCTTCAAAGTTGGATAATTCAACTGTGATACATTCATTGCTCGGCTAAAGAATTGTATATACATAGGCTTATTATCTATAACCTGGTTTATTACTCCTCCGAGTGCTAAGTCTGATGCGTCCGTTGCTATTTCAAACGGTACACCACCGACTGGCCCTTGTACAACAAGGACTTGTTGGACTGCGTGCATGAGCGCTTTAAATGCGTCATCACGCTCTTTGGTTCACAAGTTTTCTAGTTCACCTTTATGACATCTTAAGTGTCCAAAGGGTTTAAGATAATCAGCTAAGTGTGGTACTTCATCAGAGATGAAGTTTACAAATCCACACATGCTATTTATATCTCTTCCTGTAGTTGGTGTTCGCCAATCTAACAGGTATTCCACCTTACCGGGGTCGATATTAATACCTTCCTCAGATCCGATAGCCTAAGAGCTGTATTTCGCTCATTTCGAAGTGATATTACTTCTCGTTAATCTTGAAGTTTTGTTCGTTGAGTCTCTGAAGGATTCGTCTGAGTAATGCGGCATGTTCGCCCTTAGTCTTCGAAAAGATGACTATGCCACCTATGTAGACTTGCACATTAGGCATGTCTGTAAACATTACTTCCATTACTTGCTGGAAGAATGATGGTAAAAAGTGCACCCCGAAAGGTGCTCCTCTAAACCTGTATTGTTTACCCTTTCAAGTAAAACTAAAGTACCTACGATGGGGTTTATAAATTTGCATTTGATGATACCCCTGTGTCAAGTCTATGGTTGTAAACACCGTAGCACCTTCCATTCGTCTCAGTAACTCGTTTATACGAGGGAGATGAAAACTATGAGTCGGCAATAATTTATCTATTGGGCTCATGTCTAGACATACTCTGACTTTCTTAAACAATCCGTCAGAGTTGTGTTGATCAACTGCCAATAATGCTAAGTTAACTTCCGTTTGTTGGTAATTGATTTCGATTACCCCTTCGGCTAAGCATTTCTCAACTTGTTCTTTAACTACAGCTTCATGTCTCCAAGAAACATAGTTTCTTAAAGGACATTTGAGTTTAGTAAAGTTTACCTTGGTTAAGTCAAGGCTGACGTATCCGTCGTTGAAGAGAAATTTCGCCCAGTCGGTTATTTTTATCTGCTTATTTACTAATATAAGATCCATTATCTTATCGGCAAAGCCAGGAATTAATTCTTTGACTGTGTCCGATGGTGGTGTATATGGTTTTAGACAATTATCGTCTGACTGATCCTTTAATGGATCTATGTTGTTGGGTAAGCCTGTTACGGTTATCCCTAACGTGAGCAAATCGCTCATTCCGACTATAATGTCGTACTTCTGTGACATCTTAACGATCACAGCTTGAGTCGTGATATTTCTATCATCGGCCAGGGAGATTTTAACATCTGTGGCCATGGTATCACACTTAGAAGTTTTTTCATCTGCTAGAATAAGGTGAGTGGTTTGAGTTCGCCTTTCAATGTCTGTCATTAATGCAGACCAGTCGGATATACATGAAATTTCTGAACCAGGATCAATCAATGCAAGGACTTTCTGCAAGGACTTTCTGTAAGGACTTTCTTTCCGTTGCAATATACAGGGATTATTACATGCTCATCTAAGGAGTCGTTGTATCTTCTTTGTAACGATTGTACCTGGTAGTACTTTCACTCCAACTTAATGTCGGGCTTCTTGTGGCAAGACTTTGGCATGATAGCCATAGGTCTTCTTACACTTGTCGCACTTCGTAAGGAAGTGTGTACAGTTGGGTGCATGTCTTCCATTCCAATAACCGTTAGGGGTCAATTGGTACATGTCATACCCCCACTGTGCGTCGGCACATTTCTTAATCTCCTTATATGGAGGTTCCTTGTCCTTCGGCTCCGCGCGTACCCGTTTATTGGGCCGCGTTGACTGAGTAGCGTCGCGAGTGCGTGTCTGGTTAGGACGTGTCTGATGAGGCCTATCATCCGACGTCTGTCGTGAGAGATATCCTTGATCAGGGAGCTCGCACGATTTTCTATTTACTCGGTGAGCTGGGTAAAGAGTGGATACAGTATCATAAACTGTTCCCACTTAAGTCGAGACAGGTGGAACTTTGTTTCGTGTCTCTTGTCTCGACTCTCAGTTGCGTACTTACGTCGCAACTCAGTGTACAAACTTTCCCGGTCGTTGTTCTTTATGTTCTTACAGAACACATGCATAGCCAGGAACTCATACCATTTCTGAGCTTTGTCCTTTGTTATTTTAGGACGCTTCAGATCTGCATCGAGTTTCAAAATATAACTCTGAATGGGAGTATTCTCGACTGGTTCAGTTAGAATTGAACTCAGTCCAGGACTACGCATGTCTTTGTTTAATAAGGACGTAACTAACCAGCACACAGCTGGCCAGTCACGACAGGTGTCTAGCTCATGCTGATGTCGCTGCAGGATTAAATAACTTGTTCCTGCAGGATAAAATGACTGCATTACAGCAGAAATCCATTGCTGGGGAGCGATATCATTTGTCTCCAGCATGACCGTAAAGGCATTTAGCGTACGGGTTAGTGTGTGTCGAGGTCATGGATCTTTATGAACTCGACTTGCTTGCTGTTGGCATCCCAGTTCGACTTAAGTCGACTGATCTGTCCCTTGTATTTCTGGTTATCCCGGTGGTCTTGTTCACGTTGGGCCTGAAGTAGCTGATCAATGTGCTTCTGCTTGGTCGCGATCATATTAGCAAAATATGATACGTCGTCCGTACGGTGCTCGGCATGGGCAATTTCCATATTAATGGTGTAATCGTCGCCCGCTTTATTAAGTTCGGTCACCTCATCAGAGTAGAAATCCTTTGCGGGTTGGTGTAAGGCGGTGTTATAGAAGCGATTAAATTCGTCGTCGTTAACACGTCTACGAGGGTGTTTATTAACCCGTGTAAAGTCCATGGTCGAGGCCTTTCGGTGCTCTGTTCTAATTTCGGGTGGTACCTGCGTTTGGATGACATACCCAGTTTTAACTGGTCTCTGACGTGGACGGTCTCCCCAGTTGGGTAAAGGTGGCGGAGTATTTTTACCTGCCTCTGGGTCTATAGTACCCTCAAGGACAGGCGACTCGTGGCCGGGCGAAGGCACAGGTGTATAATTGGCCTGGGCTTTGGGTGGTAGATCCTCGTAAGGTATAGATATGATGGGCGCATCTGGGTCAACTGCCACAGGTTTGGCGCTCATGTCCCTACGCTTTTCGGGTGTCATTGACTGCTGACGTTCTGTCCACTGCTGTAGGGCTTTAGCAGTGCCTGGAGAAACATGCTCGCGTAAGTGCTGTGCGTGCTTCCTGATCCATACATTCGATCTATATGTTCAACAGACATGCCTTTCATAAGAGCGGGTAATTGATTCTTAAGATCAGTGTTTTCGGTCGTTAACTTATTTATGCGCGTTGGCTCAGTGGCCTCGGACGTAGATTCGGGTTTGCCACTTGAGCTTGCCTCCTCTTCTGGTTCCGGTGTAGGTACCTTCTGAGATTCGTTTTTGTCCCCTATAATTGGGGACTTTTCTTTCTGATTTTCATCAGAAGAATCAGATAGGGCGTCTTGAGACGTGTCCCTTGTCTCACTTCTTGGCTTCGGAAATGCGAGCTTCGAAGTTGAGGCAATAGTTGGCCCTCGGGCTCTCTCTGCAGGGGTAATCTCCTTAATCGGAGTGGCTATATCCTTATCTGAAGCATTGTCCTGACTATTATTGCCAGAGACAAGTGGTTCGGCTACGGTGCGGTTAAATGCATCGGCAGCAACGGCGGTTGCTTCTGCGGCAGCAGTAGCTGCGGCGGCACTAGCAGCTTCTCTCTCCATTTTCTTACGTTCGGCCTTGCGTTTTTTTTGCAGGTGTATATTGTCTTTCTTAGTCATAATACTTAACTTATGACTTCAGTCTATTCTCTTTAAGGAATGACTGGGCTTAGGAAAAAAAATCGTGGTAGTTATCTAGCTTTACATTTAAGTAGTTTAAGTAGTTAATACCTTTGCTAACTTTAAAATGTGTAAGTTTCGGTCTATCAAGGCGATATTAACGCCTTAGAGTAAATAAACGCTTAGGTTAAGTTTAAGTATAATAAAGTTCAAGAGTAAATAAACGAAAGGAGTCTTTTGGTAAAGTTAGGCATGCCTCGTGAAAACAACAATACTTTGAGGGATTGTGAGGCTGAGACATTGCCTATATATAATCCTCTCAGTACTGTTTTCGCCGAAGGTATTTTATTTAGTGTTTCGTCGTCGCTCTATTAGAAACTATGGTATGTTTCGTTGGGGCGAATCCGAGAGACTCATAAAATCATATCTTTAGAAGAAAAATAAGAAAAAGAAAAAAGAAAAATACTCTTGATGTCCATAGTTATTGCATTAACCAATAACTTACCACTTATCAAGAACTACCGACTAGCCTTCATCAGACTGGCACATCTGGTTGGCTGAACGGAGGATAAATTAAGCAACGCTAATAGTCCTTAGAAACCTATGTTCGGTTGAGCCATCTCGCTACCGGAGTATTCAGATACAAATAGATTTGGAAAGTAAATATAGTTCTATTAATAGAGCTAGTCCAAATCTTATATTTGGTATTTTACTGGGGCCTTTTAATGGCCTTGTCCAAATATCTGATAGGTAAAATGGAAAAGGTATTCATTTAATAGAACCGGTAAAACCATTTAAGGAAAACTAAGTCTACGTACTTTTAAGAGTACGTTTATATTACAAGATTCTAATGTGGAGGCCCGGCTTTTACAGCATGCAATCTAAAATTCAGCGATCTGAAGTTTGTACATGGGATTCAAGCCGCTTTATGTATTGAAGTGGTGCGGAGCAAGAACATTCCAAAAAAGAATCAGGTGTCTAGACAATTGACATAGGATCAATGGATCCCTATTTGTGTTCACTGGCTGGGCTCACCGGTCCCATAATAGAAAGACTTGAGGGCCGAGCTAATCCATCGACACTGGAGCTTGAGTGGATGTTTACTTCGAACGCAAATACAGGCCGCGATGATTTTCTGAAAACAGTCTTTTCGCGTAGTTCACTTACACGAATATTAGCTACAAATGCTTTTGAGGCTCAAGGATCCATCCATACCTGACACTGGCACACGTAGCTTTCAAAAATGCTCTTGTACGTACGCACAATGTCGAGGTAGTACCAAGGATGATGCTGAAGCTAGATGGCGTTGGGCACTAAATTATGAAGGATTACGACGGCGTCTAAAATAAAGACAAGTTGATACATACAATAGTAAGCTTATGCCTTATCCAGACGCAAAGGTATCAGAGATACTTTGTGGTGCTAGAGGACCTTTGTGTATTTTTACGGTCAATCAGCGGACTGACATCATAGATAATCAAGAGTTCTTAGAGGGTGTTATTCCAGGCTTATATTATCTACCAAATATACATCCAACATATAAGCGTTTGTTTTCTATAGTTGGAGTATATCTAGCCATAACTGGGAGTATCCTGGTTGATGAATCTTTCAAGGAACACGTCGTCCATCACATTAACAACACATTAAACGTTGAGGACGATGATGATCTAGCGCAATTAGTGAAGAAGGCACAAGTATTGATTATAAGGGATGGCAACGATGGCTTCAGAATGCAGAGATCACAGGCGCACAGGAAGCAGAGAATATACAACCCTTGAATGTCCAAGACTTACACAACGAAATAGTGAGATTTACAGCTGAAATTCGTCATACGAAACAGATGATGGAAGAAGACAAGGCCGAATACGTTGCACAAACACTAGACTATGAAATACTGTACAGAGAATGAGACAGACATGGGAACACACAAAATCATTACCTGCGCTTGCCATATCGAGCACGACGTTATGCACAGCACCCGAACGCACCAAATGAACAGCAAAAAAAAACAATCAGCAACAACAAAACAATGATGTACTGTAGAAATACGGCCTCCGGTCAGTCTAAAATATCAAGATCAAATGAGTTAACACATTGGTTTTCATTTGTATAGAAAAATTTAATACAAGTTATTTTTCCAATATTTCCAAAGTGTTCTAAATTCACTTTGATGGCTTCAATAGCCTGGGAATCTGGTATGACTAATTTACTTGGACCTATTTGAGACGATTTTAGATGTAGGATATTATAAACTAAATTTTATAATCTCTGAACTACTACTTACAGGCTTTGGTCTTCCCGCCAATCTCCAAAATCCTATATGTCGTTTTCTTTTTTTTAAACTTTTCTTCAGATGGAGCTTTATTTATATTAGCTAATGTATTAACTTGACTTACGTTCTTATGTCTATCTACAAAGTAGACATGTGGTCATGAACACTTAGTACTTCTAGTGAAAATTATTCAATAAAGAACAGCTAGAAGTACGTCCTGTGTGATCGAGGATATTAAGGCTCTTACCAAGAGGCAGTCCCGATCATTCTTACACAAGCTACCACTGCTAAATTCTAACTGACTTAAATTGTATCTTAGTTTATATAACATAAGTTTAAAATATAGAAATACCCATCGAAGTTTACAGTACATTTAGATCACAATAACCAAGCCCCAATACGAGAGACCAATTTGTGTAAAAGGCCCAAGACACTGTGGAAACTGTGGCTGAGTATGAGGAAGGTCTAGATAACAACAAAGTGGCCAAGAACTATGTGAAAAGCGCGTATAGTCATAGGAACTACTTTTGGGACGCGATGGGGAAAGTAATTCGCAGAGGTACACTGCCAGGGAAGCGATTACTAAGATAGAATACGCCTATGGTATGACACTATCCGTGTCTAACATATGTCGAGCTTTGAAAGCCGACAGAGAACTAACACAAGTGCAATAAATGGGCTGGTTTACGCGATATACATACTATGAATAAAAAAATATTTCAAAAAGTATAAGTATAAGTCTGTGTCTACAATTTATGGGTTTTATTGGTGGAAAATTGGTCATACTGATGGTCGTACACTTTCAGTATATTTATTACATAATTCAATGTAATAAATCTAGGGCGGTACCGAACTACTCCATCTGACTTTAACCCAAAAAGCCACCAACCCTAAAACCCTAAAACCCTAAAACCGAGCTCTGACAACTCCAGTGAACCGATTGACCGGACAGTCGGACACACACCCGGATTCAGATATGTAAATAAATCCTGGATATAGTATTGGTAGCTCTTCCTTTTGGTATGTAAAGTCCTGAGACTCCCGACTCCCCAGGAGTAGTCACCATTTCAAGGAGTTTTTTATTGCGTTCGTCCTCTAATCGTATATATCCAATTTAAAATTTTAGATAGAAAATATAGAGAAAAAAACAATCAAAATATCATAAATATTTTTAATATGTACATAGAACAAAAATCCAGAAACTGCTATCAGTCACTGACTCACTGTCACAGTGCTACACCGGGAGTAGGATATACTACTGGCAGCTGGATGGCTGAAATCGCGTCTCTCGTAAATAACCTCCCAACTGGAGGCAATTTCGTTTTCAAGCGAGGATAGGGTATTAAGTACAGAGCAAAAAGAACAATGTTTTGTGTTTTTTTTTCTTCGACAACCAAGTCATCAAAGTTGGAAAAAAACCCCCGAATAACAAAACAACAGCCATGGTCCTCTGGATTAGGGTCTCTGCTAAATTTACGATTTCCGCTACGACAGAAACCTGATTTCTGCTCGCGACCCTAATCCAGAGGGCCGTGCAACAGCCACCAACGCAAAGGCACAAACCCAACGCCGACATTTTGGCTTCATGTCACTGATGTATCATTCGGATTCAGTGATCAGTCGTGAATTGTGATGTAGTGACTTTGGGGGCTTCAAGCCTTCAATACAATTTGTTTATATTTTTGACCGATTATTTTTCACAACACATTTTCGGGCCGTCTTTGTCTCCGGTCTCACTCAATGCACCTTACGGTTATAATATGGGACTATGTAAGCGCTACTAAGGGTTATTATTTATTATTTTAGTGTGGTTGTCCTCGACGCCGGAATTCGGATTCATGTGGCTCAGTGGCTCAGCCCTGAGCAGGCTGAGCCCTCAGGCCGCCTAAGCCCTGAGCTTGAGGCCTTCCCTAACCCTTAACTTCAGCCCTCAGGTCAGACCGTTAGGGTTAAACAGTTGGGATATACATTTTCTAGGATTTAAAAAAAATTTAAAACTATAGACTAATCAAATCATGAGAATGTCCCAAATTTCAATTTCTAGCCATACACGAGCACACCGGGACGTCAAGTCAACTTCTTGACGTTGCCTGTTGTCTCCGACTCTCCGTTGGTGTTTCAAACACTTTTCACTGGCGCTCACTCTGTTGGGGGCAGCCTGGAGCCATGGAGGGCCTGAGCGGCTGGGCCCCGGGCCCCCGGCTCACAGCTGGAGCCCGCGGGAAGTGTTCCCAAATATCATAGCCTTCTACATATGTTTTTTCTTTTTAAATTTAGCGTATTTAAAAAATATATAAAATAAAAACCTGTCACAACGACAGGCGACAGGTTGTCGACACTCGACAGGCCTCAGCCCTCAGGTTGTCGACAGTGTAGCAACACGCGACAATTCCTCAGAGGGGTGTTTCCCCTATCCAGTATCCGTTGGTCTGTGAGACTGTGACTTGTGAGGGTACCGTTATAGTTGTCGACCTTTGTCTTCTTGTCGCGTCCGGCACGTCGTCGCGGCGTCGCCCTAATACCAAACCAGAATCCGGATATGTATGTAGATATTCTTTTGTAAGTTATTTTTTGTTTACATAAAAAAACAAAAACAAAGGAGTTATAAATCCTGACTTGGTTTACGACACGGTCTTTTATGATTACATGTTTTAAAACCGTCGTAAACATGAATATAAGCCTACATGGTCTTTAAGACGGTCGGGTATTGTTGTTTCCGTTATAGTAGTTTTTCCCATGTTGACCAATCAGATTTGGCTAAATCCTAGTATCCGTTTCGTGTGACATGGTTTATCGAGTTTCGTCGGTTGGACTTATTATACATAGGCACTAGTGCCAAACAAAGACTGTAACGGATTCGAACTGAAACCATATCAAAGCCCGCCCTTAATATTAGTCAAGGTCGCGCAATAGTACTTCTCAGACTCTCAGTCAGGTATTTACACAATAATATTAAATGGCCTAAACCAAACTACTTGTTATTGAGTTTACGACCGTCGGAAAAGGAAATTTGAGTGTAGTTTACAACCGTCGCAAACTGCCTGGCAATCCAACATGGTTGGCGTCGTAAACCAGGTCAGTATAAATCCAAATTCCTGTATTTATATTACTGTTTATTCATAATCATAGCCTTCTTGTATAATTTAGAAGGCTATGCCGCTATGGTTTATTTTATATACTACATCTTATCTTTTTTAAAAATTGGAATATTGTTTCAAGAAAAGTACCGAGGCCCAACTCTCGCCCGAGGTCATACTTCACAACATAAATAGCCGTCTACACAATAGTACAGTACATACTCTACAGTCTCTAGTTATCTACTATGGTGCACTACAGTCTACAACTCTACAGTCTACAGTCTACACTTTACACTCTACTACAGTCTACAGTCTACACTTTCTGTAGTACCCTACGGCCTACATTCTACAACAGCTGACACTCTTCTTGTGTGTTGCCAGTTCGCAGTCTCTGGAATTTTGCAAAAACGGATACTATTGAAGACGCAATAACAATGAGTGTAGCCGCTCCATCTCGAAGGTATAAAACGGTGTTATCTCATGATAGTCTGACCGTCGCGCGTCGACTACTAGAGTATGCATAGAGAAATAGCAATACTCCTATCAACTGGTACTAAAAGGCCTTCAAAACAATTTATGTATTAAAAAATTTATATATAGTAAATTGTTCTATAAAAATAAACCCCCCTAAAGTCCTAAATCCAGCTCTCTACTAGTGTGATACCTCATGATTCATGAAGTCATTTTTAGCCACAGACCACCAAACACCACTCACCACTCACCACTCACCAGAGAGTGTGTCAGTGACGTCACCGGAATCAGTGTGACTATCTTTACTGTTTTACTCTTATCTTTACTGTAAAAATTAAAATACCGCGAGGCGCGAGGTCGTCAGCCGTCAGGTCAACCATTGGCCCTCACCCGTCGCCGGGGTCCGGGCCCGTCGGTCGTCAGACGACAGACAGGCATCACCGCGTCAGTGGCTCAGCGCCGCACTGCGGTCACCGTCTCGGGCGTCTCTATTCTCTACTCTGCTACTACTCTAGAGCTAGAGTGAAGAGAGAGAGAGTCTGCACTCCTTTTGTATGTGTGTCCATTTTTGACCCATTTCTGAACATTTTCATTTGTTTGTGGTATGTACTTTTGTGAAACAAAGTTCACTTTAGCATGACGAATGTTCTTTGCTGTGACCTCTTGACTAGGGATTTCTACTACTGAGCCTGGTAGATTGCAATGTACATCTGGTGGTATTTGTCCATTTTGTTCTAACAAGTCTGAGAGTGATTCCCTGAATCCTTGTTGTTCATGTTCAGGGTCTTCTTCATGTGGTGTAAGAAGTGATTCCCATTTGGCATCTGTTGGTATTAGTGGGTTTATTATCCCTGCTAAGTATATGCCCCAAGTATGGTAGAATGTCCATTCCTAATAGGATTGGTGATTTCTTGTCTGGGACGTCAAGTACCTCGAAGCAGTTTGAGGTTTTCCTGTCTCCGTAGTTTATATCACATACCTCTCTGGAGCCTGTACGTTTGTAGTAAAAGTCCCCTTAAACCACTATCAGTGTGGAGTCAGAATTAGTTTACAATTAATTCACACGAGGTGAATTATTTGTAGACCAAGTAGACAATCAAATATAAGAATAAATACATCGCACTGAGCCTCAGGGAGACTCAGTAGGTTTTAGTATCGTATTTTGATGTGTTTACTACACGTTGTACTCTTGCATCTGATTGTGCGAGTTGTATGTATCCAGGTTGTGCCTTGACAGATAGGTATAGTTCAGTTACTACACTTCGGTCCATACAAGAGCGTTGTGCCCCTGAATCTACTAGTGCATTGTATGTGGTGCCATTGATTTGTATGTATATGTGCAATCTCTGGTCGCGGGGATTCGAAAGTAAAGAGATGGGTGTGTAATCAATATCATTCGCATTTATTAACAACGTTTATTCATCAGTGTGTGTATTCACAATTTCTACCATGTTCATTATGTTAGCTTCCGACCATCAAGCCTTTTATAGCTCTTCGTCCATCTCTTCCACCTTATTGCCATTGGTAATGGCCAACTGGTCAACATGGACAGTTTGGTTCTGTTGCGCTGCTCGAGCTTCTGCCATTAGACGATTGTTGTTCGCTTTGTTGGGGCATTTGCTGAACGCATGTGGTGAGGGGTTGATGCCACAGTGTGGGCACGGTCGTGGGCCTCGTGGTACTGGTGTGTCAGTGTCCTGTCCTATGGGACGACCTCTGCCTTGCCCTCCTGGTGGACCTCCACCCCTTGGTGGGCCTCCACCTCTTGGTACTCCTCCCCCTCTGGGTGGAACCCCTTGAGGTATTTCCAGTCTTGGGCGAGTGGCTCGTGGTTCATAAGCTAGTGCATTCTTTGCTCGCTTGGCTTCACGCTTGCGATTTGCTTATGTTATTGTTGCCTGTCTGATCATGCCTTCGGTGAGTTCATGAAATACCTTCTCTGAGATGTCAGATAAGTGTCCACTACTCCCGTCTGGTTTTGTTTGAGCCTTAATTATCTTGTCTGTTTCTGCTTGTAAACCGTACATGGCCAGTACCTGGTAACGTGGTGCTTTGAGGAGTTGCCAATTGATAGCCTCTCGCTCTGTGCCCTTGTAACGTTTCTCCAACTCAAACATTGTGCGACGTAGCCGTGCTACTCGTACTTCGACCTTCATACGAGTGTCATAGAAGTCGTTGAGCCACTTCTCCAGTAGGTAGTCTACTGGAGTGCGACGTAGATTGTCAACGATTAATATGTTGTAGTCCTCCACATCAGTGAAGTCTTGCCAAAGTTGTTTGGTACTACGTATATTGTTGAGTGCAGTGCGCGATACTTCAGTGGCATCTGTCTGTCTGAGTAGTTCTTGTACTAGTGAGAGGTACTGTATCAATGGCATGTATGTGTCCGCAAACAAGTCTTTGGCTACAGATACAAACTGAATTGTATCACGACAATCGGCCATGCTGATCTGTTTGCCTATTGGCCATTTAAGGAACACATTCATCTTGAGTAGTTTGTTCAGTTCTGGTTTTGAAGCTTTGACTCCTTCGTGACATCTAATTAGAGTTAACTCGTTCATACAGCCACTGATCGCAATGCACTCATCGTGATCACTTTTGTCACAGTTCTTCATCGCTTTATTGTATAGTTCTACTAACCACTCATCTATTATTGAAACTAAACGTTTGGGTTGTTGTTCATGGACTTCTTTGCGCAGTTTGTGAAACGCTTTGATGTCAATGGGATCGTCCGCCGTTTGCGCATACAACTTGTCTACTAGTATGTCTACTATGTAATAGTTGCTGTCATAGATAGTCTTATCCCAGACTATGTGATACTTACTCATCGCTGGATCCATTGGAGCTCTTGCTGGTGTGGACTCATCGTCCATCTGCATCGCTCTATCCCCATTGTGTGGGGTAGATGTGCGTGACGATGTTTGCGAGACTGGCATTTTGCTTGCTGCTACTGGTCTTGTGTCGGCAGTGCGACTTGTGCTCCCTCGTGTGTGTGTACGGCTTGAGCTTACTTGTGTGCGTAGGCTCCTTTGTGCTGCGCGTGTACGTTGGTATGGTGCAGACGTCATTGACTGTTCTGTATCTGTGTCCCCGTTTGGCATGCGGTGTCCGTGCTGATTGCAGGGCCTTGTGCTTGTGTGGCTTGAATTGCCCGTGTTCGAGTTACCTGGGTTTATTTGGAGAGTTTTTGGTTTGAGACGATAAACCTGGGTTTATGATGGTTTATTGGTTGTAAACCTAGTTTCTCTTGTGATTTGGTTTCTGGTTTCGTAAACCTGTATTTTGGTTTTATAAATTTCTATAAAAAAAAAATATTTGAGTCTCGGTGGTGTTCCAAACTTCTCGTCTTAGATGACTTAGACTTTTGTGCGAAAGAGATTTTATTTTATCTGTTTCCTATGTTTATTTACCCTTTTAGTATTCATCGTGCACCTGTAATACTACTTGTCTACGTTTATACCGATATCCTTAGATTATCGTTTTGTGGTCTGTGCTGTATGTGGTGTGCATATGTCAGTTTATACCGATATCCTTAGATTATCGTTTGTTATCTGTGCTGTATGTGGTGTGCATACGTCAGGCAGGTGTACACGTATTCTTTACGTTGTCACTGTTATCCATGTGTCTGGATTTGTGCACGAGATTTGGCTTCTGGCGTTAGATTTACTACACTATTGCCTTTTAGTGTTTGTGTTTCCTCGTAAGCTATGTGTAGCTAGAGTAATCTTCTATGTCCTTGCGATTTAGGACTGTAGTGTCCGTTTCTGATTTGTATACAGTATGTTCTAACTGATTGTTGAACGGTGTTCTCATAATTTTTGTGCCTATGTTGTTCTTGTTGACGCAGTATCCCAGTCTATAGTCTTGAGCTTTGTAAAGCTTATCCCATTTACTGCACGTGATTCCATGGCCTGTTATTCCTACCTCATTTAGTGTGAGGATGTGTTGTCCCATGGAGTGTGGGTTTCTCTTGTCCTATTTCGACACTAATATTCAGTAGTGTTACTGTTATTATTAAGGTTTATTGGTATCAGTTATTGACACAGTGTAGTATGTTCCTTCTCACTTTAGATCTACGTCTTCAATTCCAAGAGGTATAACCTCTTAATACTAGTGACTATAAGGATATCATGTATTTTTGTGTTTATATAATTATCCTATTCTTTCTTGTGTCGAGTTCTATTAAACGTGCACATGATTGTAAAACTTGTGTATTCTGTGTGCACCTTACTGTGGTCCAATCTTTTGGTGATTTCACTATTGATTTACTGATTTCAATATTGATTTACTTAGAAATGCTTCTATATTTAGCTTCTTGTTTGTGTTATCATTACTTAATTGTTTAGGCAACTAAAACAATGTATGTTGTCTTGGTATAATTCGCGTCGTGTGCGATTAGCAGTTCTAATCACTGCTTTCTAGTGTGCGATGTTTAATGCTTCTCTCTCCGGTTGGAGATTCTTTTTAGATCTAACTTCTTGTTCTGAGTGATAACCTATTATTTGTCCAGGCAATGTAAGCTTGTGATTGTGATTTCCACTAGTTTTGTTGTGTGCACTTGTCTAGTGACTGTTTCTTGACCTCGTTTGGGTTAGTGTCTAACTCTTGATGGGTTTGTGCCCGCAGTTGTTAGTGATTTACAAGTTAATGTTCTTGCTCGATATGTGAACAATGCTCTCTGCGGTTGTGTGCACTATATTTCTGTGATACACTATACTATTTGTGGGTCCTTACTAATGTCACTTACTTTCATATGTGCTTGTTTTGTTTTATGTGTAATTGCATTGGATTCTTCTGTACTAGTGATCTCTCTAGTGATCTCTAGTGATATTATAGAGTTGTGTTTTTTTGTGGAGAATGTTTATACAGGCTCTACTTGTCTTGTCTTGCCCTTTGGATTATGAGTTGTGCTTGATTTTATGTGCCTTGTGATATGTGGCTTTGTGAAAGTATGTGTAAGCACGTATTGGTACCCTAGACCTATATCTTCTTGAGTCTGGTCTGGTTATTAGTGGTCTACCCTGGACTGCTTATCACTGGTGACACTTTTACAAATTTTTACTTTCCCAATATTGATAATTCTATCACGTTGATACTTTTGTTACTGTATAACATCGGTACACATAGTTCCGCTTACCAAGGAGTTACCTAGTCGTACTTACCGTTCTTAATAAAGGTATAAAAATCGTACAAGTCGTAAGTTACCTTCTTGAGTGTTACTCGTTCACTTTTCTCAGAGAAGGAACTCCTTCTTTCCTTCCCAGTTCTTCTTGGTTTGTTCCCGTTGTTCCCTTCCTGTTGACACTGTCTTCTCGGGTTCACTTATGAGTTTGTTTACGTGTCTTCGTTGTTCTGGAACGGTTGTCATTTAAATCCTACTTCGTGACTTACTAGTACTTCTGAGGGAACAGCGAATCTCTCAGCTAGGTTAAGTCCTAGGCTGAAGCACTCGCATTGAGTCTTTATTTGTGTTTAGTATTTTCTACACTAGACTCAATATTTACTTAAGTGTTTCTCTCACACGCGGGGGTCCCGGTATCATCTACCGGTATTCCCGCTATATTTCTGATCACTCTGTCATCAGAAATATTGGATCCTAGATCCAAAACTCAGTATTTGATAATCCTGGGTTTTGGGTTTAGGATTGGCTTTTCTGAGTTATTATCCAGCCAGCTTTTAACTATGCTGACTAGGGGGGGAAACCTTCCTGGTCAAGAAAGGAAAAACCCTGTAAAGATAAAGTCTGTTCGTCCAATGAGTTTTATGCTGGTGTCCCATTGGTTTCTTTCTATAAAAGTGTGTAAAACTCTTTTACTGTGTGTCCGTCCAATACTAGGAGTCGAGTTAAGATTTCATGATGCACTGTGAGAGTTATGTGAGACCGAATGACTCAACTAGTATAACAGCTCCAGAAATTTGAAGGTACATATAAAATGGCGTTTTCTCATGATTCATCCCTGTATAAAAATTAAAATGGGGATTGGGGACTGAAACCGTTGAAACTGCTATCGAGGAAACACCCTAATAACTTTTAAAAATAGCTAGCCTGTAATTTTGATGACTAAGTCACTAATAGCCAGTGCTTCTCATCTTACATCCCGTTAACTTTCCTTTAAACGCGTTAAAACCTACTGTACATGAAGTTATCATTGGTTGGGTTAGAATTCTTCAATGGGCCTATTCGTATGTAAATAGCCGTTATTCTACACAACAAGTACGTGATTTCGTTAGCTCTAGAGTAGAATGGCCTTATTACTGGCCTATGTATAGGGAAATTTTTAAATTTGTGACGAACAGACAAAAAATTCGTCAATAAAATTTCTGGAGGGACTGTGAGTCTGTGACTAGTGAGTTACACCGTAGGGCGTTGAACTGTGCGGCTGTGCCTTCTAAAATTCTAAAAATATTTATCAACTATGCAGTGAGTACGCACTTTAAATAAATAGAAATAGCGGACGTCTCGATTCTCTTGAAACTCTTGTGATACCTCATATTTATATATATATATATATATATATATA